TTGCCCCCAGGACGCTCTGCCCCAATCACACATTACCTGTTTATACTTCTGAGGCAGACTCCAGCCAAAAGCCTGCACTCTGCCATCTTCCTTCTGAACATGGGCCTTCACCTGACGATATTGTTCTCTCTTTTGTTCTCTACGTGAGGCTAAACTAGCTTCAGTTCTAAAAGGAAAAGAGATGTCTTTTCTAGATTAAGTGAATAGAACAATAGCTTTATCTTCCCTCTCTTGCTAAAATAGCAAAAATAACAAAAAAATTGACATCATTTCAAGTTAGTTTATTCAGACTACAATAGCTCTTTCAAAAAGTGCACTAAAGCTGTTGCTTCTAAGTTTGGGCAGTGAATACAGTGCCCAAGCTTCACCAAGTTAGCAAGTAGCCATTTATATTAAATTAAATCATCAGCCATCAAATTTCTATTAAGTTTCAGATGCTGGCCATATAAAAGGGAAAATTTAAGTATTTCATCTCTTCTTTTTTTGTTCACTTAACAAATACCTACTGAGAATTTCCTAATGCCAAGAAATGACTAAAAGATCAATAAAACAGTAACTGCTGAGGAAGATAATACAAGTTAAATATGAAGTCCCATTAACTTGTTTCAAAGAGAAAAATGTAAATTCTCTCAGTAAGTTTTGGAGCCACAGAGTAAAATATTCTGAAAATAACTTTCTTTTGGCCATTTAAATTTTTGTGATTTGCTATGTATGCCATAGTTAACAAATGTACCTATATTATATGCCAAACACTTTACAAACACTGTATAATCTTAATACCTTTAAAACAAGGTATCATATTTGTTTTATAGGCAGAGAAGCTGGAGCTCTGGGAGATTAATTTGTCCAGCAGAGCGATAAAAGGAAACCAAGTACTTCTGACACCAAAGGAAATGTTCAAACATTTGGGGTAAAGACTTATATAAGCTTTAACACTGCAACTAATATTTATCAATACTGTCACACCAGCAAAATGAGGCATTTAAAAACAAACCCTTTCTATTTAATAAAAACTGTAGAATGCAGTTTTCATAAGAAGTTTGACTATAACTCATTTACTTAAAGGCAGCCAAGTTACAGAAATAGTTCCATTATGTATGTGAACCCTGGCCAGGTAAGTAGCCCATGACTGTAATCCCTGCTACCTGGCAGGCTACACAGGAGGATCACAAGCTTGAGACCAGTCTGGGGACAATGGCAAGGCTGTATTTACACACACACACACATTTATCTGAAGCCTTACAGAAGATCTGACAAGGAGCAAGTATCCTGAACTACTATACTAAAATCATTGGAGGTATAACCATTAGTCTGTAAAATACTTACTCTTCGCTAAGAAAATCAAAGGCTTTGGATTTATCCCCCGGGAGCTGAGATAAGGTGCTGCTTCTTTTCTTGACAGAAGGAGTAACATGAGAGGTGGGGGCATTGTATTTCAGATTAACAGGGGGTTCAGGCTTCTTTGCAGTATTACTTGAAGAGCTGAATAGTCGACTAAAACTAGAAAGACAAAAAAGAGTGTGTGTCTGTGGTATCACATGTATTGTGGAGAATAATTCATGATTTTCCAAAAGACTTATGCTCAAGAAAAGTCCAGGGTGATTTTACAGGGCAATGAGTTAAAAAGTGGCATAAAACAGCTTTTGTAGTCACATGCTGCAGCCTTGGCAATAACTCACAGCCACACGCAGACATTCGGGGGAGAGAAACTATCTATTCAGAATGGCAGGTGTCTCTTAATTAGCAACTTCCACAATGAAAGGAAGAAGCCCTTGAGTACATGGACTTCTCCTATTGAATAATCAAAATAAAACAGTTCCTTTAACTAACTCTCACTTGACATAAGAGTGGTTGCTAAACAGCAAGCTTATTTACGGCAGGCAGGGTGATTTGAACAGAAGCTCAGCACAGTCAGTTCTAAAAATGGTCTATAATAAAATACTAGAACACATTATCATGCTAACAGACATCTTATACATTTTCTGATTAAGCTCAATTTAAGTTAACTACTCATATCTACTTGAAAAAAAAAAAAAACTATTAAATAGCAGATTGACCCAAAAAAGCATTTTTATATTTCAAGTCCAACACATACATATTCTATTTAAGCCCCACAAACATTAAATTTTTCATCTTCATATAATGTTCCTTATAATCACACAACTAGTGACTCCGTAGCTTATTTAATGGGGATTTAGGCAGCATAAACTCTATAAATAATCCCCATTATTTCACTCAGTTTGGCAGAGGATTCCACCAAATGCATAACCAACACGATGCAGCTTACAAGAGCACATTTTCTGTCCTTGAGAACAGTCTTACCGAGCTGGCACACTATATAGCAAAAAGAAAAAGTTCAGTTTAGCTATTTATCCACAATTTAAAAAGAAAGAAAACTGACATGAAATCATTCTTAAAAATAAATTCTGATTATAACCTTCCTGTCCCAAAGTGCTGCCTAATGTCATTATTTGTTTTAGATACTTACAACTGCCAAATGCTTGACCTTTTTTTTTCCTGCATGGCTGGATTTTCTCGTGATGCCCTACATTAAAAAGAGACAAAGTAAAGAAAGAAACGAAGAATGTTATCAGTGAGGTGTTCTAGCTTTTAATCTGAAAAACAATGGACCTAAGAAGTTCATGTGATACACACAGGAGAGACATACATTAAATTTAGTAAATGGTCACTTTGATCTGCCGTGTGTTAATAGATCTACGGAGATAAATAAAATACCATCCATCCCTCAAAGAGCTCAGCCAACTGATAGGAAATTGTTATCTGTGCTGGCCAGATAGCCAACATGCCTGAATGTTGACATTTAAATTACTTTTATAAAAAAGATATTTTTGGGTCAGCAAGTGGTGTGGCAGTTAAGGCAGCTAACCGTACATGGCTGACTTTCCTGGCCTCTTAAAAAACATGCCATGCATGAGTGTGTGTGTGCATACCCAAAACCCTGAGAAGAATGGAGGAGAAGGGACTGTGGCATGGCCATCCCCCCTGGGGGGGTGATTTCTCACTCTGACCCCCATCTTTCTCTGGAAGGTGCACACATCCTATAGCAAAACTAAAATAAATAAATAAATAAATAAAAGTAAAAATAAAACGACATCCTCAAATTCTGTTTTATCAAAACATCACCTTATAAATCTCTCTTTACATGAAGATTTCCATGATACTATACCTGAATTCTTATAAAATAGCTTGTAATTTTATTGTTCTGAAGGGCCATTTTTCACAAGACTAAAACATTTCAATCACTGGAAAGATGATCAGGAAAAGAGAAAAGAATAAGCTAGATTGCCAGATAATTCAACATTTCAGAAAACAAGATATTTCAAATTGATTTAGTAAAGGATTCTGTCATCACTATAAGAACCCTTTTGTTACCTTTTTAAAAGGACTAAGTTAAAAAGATCTTTCAATTCTTCCAGTTAAAAGTAGTGGTTTGGCTGCTAGAGTTAAAAAGAGCAAAGAAAATGGAACTTGACTATATGTCTTCAGTTCTAAAAATATTGATTCACATTTTAATATCCATTCAATGCTACAGTTAAGAATACACTTCTTAGAAAGTCAATTTCCTTACTTAACAAATAAAGATTAGAAAACTGATTTCCTGGGGTCAGTAGGTGGTATGGTGGTTAAGGTATTGGACTCCCACATGGCCGACTGCAGTTCAAGTCCCGGACCTGATGGCTTTCTTTTCTTGCTTTCTTTTTCTAGTGACTATAGAAAATTAAATAAAATTTAAAAAAAAAAATTTTTTTTAAGAAAAGTACTGATTTCCTTCCTTCTCAGCAGCTACAAGCAATTATAATTCTAGCAAAATTATAAAATATGGCACACTTCCAGTGTGCTCCCTAGCTGGGAGGTGGCATCACAGCGATCAGTGGGCCGGGTTTGCCAGCTGCTCTGCTGCGCTGCGCTCACTCTCTGCTCCTGATCCCCTAGCTCTAGACCTGAGGGCGGTGCAGGCGTTTGTGGGACATGGTGACCTCGGGCTGCAACCAAGAGGAGAGCTTTCTGTACTTTGCCTACGGCAGCAACCTGCTGACAGAGAGGATCCACCTCCGAAACCCCTAGGCCACGTTCTATTGCGTGGCCCACCTGCAGGTCTGATCAGTCTTTAAAAGGAGACAGGCAGGTGCAAAGGCATGTACAGCTTCTTTCGCATAGAAGGAACACACTGAGTTTACTGAATGTTTTAATTGCATGGAGTTCAAGGCAAGGAGTTAAAAGTGGAATGTATGTCCTAATAGAAGTTCAAGTTTCAAAAAAAAAAAAAAAAAGAAGTTCAAGTTTCAACTCAAGAAGGGACAGAAATAACTTGTCAAAGTTATCAGATGACATTATGAGAGTGTGCCCCCATCACCAGAGTATAAGATGGTTATTTGTATGGGTGCAAAAGAAAATGGTTTCAGGATAAGCTGCTGGCGTAATGGCTCTGTCGTTGGACTTCCACGTAGTCGACCACAGTTCAAGTCCCAGAACTGGTGGCTTAAACTCACACTGGGCACATGTGCGTATGTGCCCAAGATCCCAAGAGGATAATGGATTGTGGCGTGGCCATCCCCCTGGGGGGTGATTTCTCCCTTTCTGTTTCCCTGGCGAGTGCACATGCCCTATAGCAAAAACCTCTCAAAAAATAACAACAACAATGATTTGCCAATGCAGTATCAAAACAAGTTAAAAGCAATAAAACCAAATGACTATAAAGGAAAGATCTCAGAAGAAATTGAAGATATTATCAATAAGGGGGAAGCAAAACCTCATTAGAACATATGGGGCTGGCAGGTGGCATGGCGGTTAGGGCACTGAAATCCCATATGGCCAACTGTGGTTCGAGTCCTAGATTTGGTGGCTTGCTTTCTCACTTTTCCTTTCTCTCTCTCTCTGTCTTTCTCTGGTGAGCACATATACCCTATAGCAAAATTTTAAAATAAATAATATATATTTTTTTATTTGGAGAGGTTTTTGCCATAGGGCACGTGTGCTTACCAGAAAGACAAAGGAAGAAGAGAGACAGAAAGCAAGAAATCACTTCGGGGAGGGGGGGGGGTAGGGGAGGGGTGGAAAGGCCATGCTGCAATCCCTTCTTCTTCACTCTCCTCTTGGGATCTTGGGCATGTAAGCACATGTACCTGGTGTGAGTTTAAGCCACCGGGTCTGGGACTCAAACCACTGTCAACTACATGTTTGCCCAGAGACATTATGTTAACTACTAGTCCCTAATTGTTTTTAAAAAAGAAAAATTGTAAATGTGCTAAACAAAATACTTCAGAGACCAGCAGATGGTGTAATGGTTACATTGCTGGACTCCCATGCAGTTGACTGGTTTGAGTCCCAGACCTGGTGGCTTAAAACTTGTTCCAGGCACATGTGCGGAGTGCCCAAAATCCTGAGAGGAGAATACAGAAGGGATTATGGTATTCCCATCCCCACTAGGGGGGTGATTTCTCACTTTCCATCTGTCCCTGTCTTTTTGTGAGCACACACACACTGTAACAAAAAAAATCTCTCCAAAAAAATTACTTCATTCCAGTAGCACAGTACTTAAGGCATGTGTATCCCCCCATGGCTAACTGCGTGGGTCCCATCCTAGACCCAGTGGCTTGAGAAACACAATGGGCATGTGGGAATGCATGCGCAAAATCCCAAAAGGAGAAATGGAGAAGGGACTGAGACATGGTTAACCCCTGTGAGGGGTGCTTTCTTAATCCTCCCCCCGACTCCAGTAAGCATATGGGCTCTCTAGCATATTAAAAACCCAAAACAGAGGCCAGCAGGTGGTGTGGTGGTTAAGGGTGCTGTATTCTCACATGTCTGACCATGGTTACAGTCCTGGACCTAGTGGCTTGCTTTTTGCTTTCCCTCTCCCTCTCTGGTCAAATTTTAAAAAATAATAACGAATGAATGAATGAATAAAATTTAATAAATATTTTTAAAAGGGATTAGCAGTTAGCGTAATGGCTATGTCGCTGGACTCCCACGTAGTCAACCGCAGTTCGAGTCCTAGACCTGGTGGCTTAAATTCACGCCAGGCGTGTGTGCGTGTGTGCCCAAGATCCCAAGAGGAGAATGGAAGGGAAGGGATTGCGTGCGTGGCCATCTCCCTGGGGGGTGGGGCTGATTTCTTGCTTTCTATCTCTCTGTCTCTCTCTGTCTTTCTGGTGAGTGCACATGCCCTATAGCAAAAACCTCTCCAAGAAAAAAAATAATAAAAAATAACAATGGAATTAAATAATTTTTAAAACAAAGAAAAAAATATCCAAAATAACAAAAAACTGTGTTCTAGTATTATATTGATAAAGAATATATAAATTGTTTACAAATTGTTAAAATATGTAATGGCAAGAAAATTAAAAAGTTTGAAAAATATGTTTATAAACTTAAAAACAATGTATCACTGTGTACTGGTAGTGTTGAATCTGCAATTAAAACTGGAAAATATGAATAAACGGGAAGGGGTGCACTAATTTATAAACTTTTCATGAGCTCTTTCTAAATTAGAAGAATCGTGCTGCTGATAACCTGACCATTAGATGGCAGTATTAAAAAGATTTAAGAGCCAACTGACTGAAAGCCGTCAAAGGAAAGTAGGTCCATTTTGCTTGACAGAAAGGAGGGAGGAAATCAAGCAAAAGTATTTCGAGGGAAGGCAATGACTAAAGATAATTTATTTTTCTGTGTTGTATATGAAATAGTGATTTTTGACAACATTGTGAAAGTAGTATTAACATCTATGTTCTTTTGAAAACTCACTGTCTCTCCGAAGTAATAACTGCCTGTGAGAGGTTGTGGAAACATCCTGCAAGACCCCAATTTGATCATGTTCTAATAATAATTCCAAGCTCCACGTTAGAAAGTCTACCCTGCAAGACCCCAATTTGATCATGTCCTGTTAATAATTCCAAGCTCCACGTTAGAAAGTCTCTCCTAACAAAGACAGCAAGGGACTTGGACTCCCCCCCAACCACACACACACACCAAAGGGCTCCAGTTCTGAAGGAGCAACAGTACGAAAACACCAGAGTTCATCTCATACAAACCGTATCATCTCTGTCCATCGAACAGCTTCCTGAAGCTCCATCAGTCTCTCCTTGTACTGGTTTCTTTCCATGAGAACACGGGCCATTTCCACTCTAGTGAACCGCTTCCTCTGGGCAGTGGGAATATCACTCTACAATGACAAGACAACTACAGATCACTCTGCAAGTCTACACATATTTTGATGTTAACCTCGGACTTAGGAAAAAATCTTTAAAGCTTTTAAACATTTCTTAATTTTAAAAACAAAGTGCAATTATTTATTTTCTCCCATGAGCAAGAAAGAGATAGAGACAGAGAGAGACAGCACCCCCAACAGGGTCTTGACACCACTATCCACCCCCAGCCTTTAGCTAGCCCCAGATGGGCAAGCCTGTGCACACATACTCAGGTCTCTGTCTCAAACTGAGAGACCTCCCTTGGGAACTGACTCACAGAACATCGTGTTTTACTGCTGCACCACTCTTGGCACCCCCATTCCTTTATTTCTAACCTAATGGACAGCTTAAGAAAAATGGCCTTATAAAAATAAAACCAACAAAGAAATTTAGATAGTTATGACTAAAAAGAGGTAGATAATGTAATTTCAGAATATAAATACAGATAAATGAAGCTATTATGCAAGAATAGTACAGATTTTAACTAATACCCAAAAACTTAACTATACAATACAGATTTAATATGATCTTATAAATTTCAGTTGGAAATGTTTTTCCAACATTAAAATGGTTGCAAATTAGTTACAAAAGAAGTTCACTTATCTCCGTAATACACACCCAAGGCCAGCACAAAAGGTAAAAATGTACTGCCTAGTTATTAAGGTGCCCAATGTAAGTCACTAAAATACCCCAAAAAATGCAAGAGGTGAGGCAGTGGTGCAGCAGTAACACAACTGGACCCACATGGGAAAGGTCCTTGGTTCACATCCTGGGACCTCCCTGAGCATGCTAGGTGTGCGTGCACATGCCCAAGATCTAGGCTGGTTGTGAGCAGGGGTAGATTGCAGCCTAGAGACGCTATTGGGGCTTGCCTGCCTCTCCAGAAAATACTAAGTGAATGAACTTTTAAAAAAAGGAAATGTAACAAGATAGAGAGAACTGTATTAACCAGAATTATTCTTAGAACAGAGGATGTGCAGGTGGAGTTAAAATAAGTCAGCTTCTACTGATCTCTAAACTCTCTTCTGGGGAGGAACACAGGTCTAATTGCAGGGATCAAGGAATTGATTGTCCCAATTGCTTGAGACAAAAAGAAAGACTATGCTTCACGGAACGGTCCTCCTCTTTGGCCCCTATGCCATAGAACTTGGCCTTTCCTTTAAACAAAAGCTAAACAGGCCCAGGCAGTGGCACCGCAGTGGCACGGCAGGACCCACGTGGGAAGGGTCTTTGGTTTCCTTCCCAGAAGCTCACTGAGTATGCCAACGCATGCACCAAGACCTGGGCTGGCTGAGGCTAGGGGTGATTACAGCCCGGGGATACTGCTGGAGTTGCTTCTCTGTTTCTCCCCCCTCTCATGGATGAAATAAATAAAGCTACACTAAGTAACAAATAGTAAAGGCTCTTAAGTTTACACAGAAATTCCATGACTAGATATAAACCCCTGACAAACTCTTGTTTCTACATGCCAGGAGACCTGTAGTATAGTGGTTCTAACAATAGCACTGTTTCTTGTACAAAAGGCTGAAACAACCTAAATATTCATTATCAGGAAAAAGAGATACGCACATGGTAGAATATTCATACAAGGAGATGTTACAAAGCAATGAACATAAATAAACTGCAGTATTATATGTCAACATTGATGAGTCTTGAAAACATAATTCTGAGTAAAAGAAGTTAAGTCTTGAAGACTAAATATAGTACAAAGCACACAGACAATGAAAACACACACTTTGTAGGGATATATATATATATTATGATCAAATAATAATTTCTTAAAAGTTAAGCAAATGATGTATACAGAATAGTGGTTTCTTTGGGGGAACCAGAGGTGAGAAGCTCTGGTTAATTTCAATATTTGTGTGGACCAGCAGTTAGCGTAATGGCTATGTCGCTGGACTCCCATGTAGTTGACCATGGTTCAAGTCCCGGAGCCAGGGGCTTAAACTCACACTGGGAGCATGTGCATGCGTGCCCAAGATCCCGAGAGGACAATGGAGGAGAAGGGATTGCGGTGTGGCCATCCCCTCTGGGGGGTGATTTCTTGCTTTCTGTCTCTCTCTGTCTTTCTGGAGAGCGCATGCGCCCTATAGCCAAAAAAAAAAAAAAAAAAATTTAAATTTCAATGTTCGTTCCAGGTGATAGGTAATGTTAATTTACTATTAGTCATAACTTACATATGCTACACATATGTTTGTACATATCAAATACTATATCAAAAACACAAAGAACCTGAAAGGACATCATGGGATTCTATTCAGGCTTATCCATCTACCTAAAATCCGACCTGTGACCTACAAATGCCTGTTATAAGATGATAATCTAGGGGCTAGCAGGTGGGATAGTGGTTAAGGTGCTGGGTGACCATGGTTTGAGTCCCAGACCTGGTGGTTTGAAAATCATGTTGGGAGTGTGTGTGTGTGTGTGTGTGTGTGTGCGCACACACACACACACAAAACCCCAAGAGGAGAATGGAGGTGAAGGAACTGTGGTATGGCCATCCCTGAGGGGTTATTTCTTACTTTCCCTTTCTCTGTGTTCCTCTATTTCTCCCTCTCCAGCAAGTGCACATGCCCTATGCCAAAAATCTTAAAAAAAAAAAACAAACACACACACACAAAAGACGGTAACTTAACTACCACCAGTATAACCAATGTGCTAATACCAGAAAGAAGAAAGAAGCTCATATTAATTCTTTTGTATTTATGTTGACAACAATATAGGTGTAATGACTAGCAAAGTTCATATGTTGATGTTTAATACTGTTATACAATTCTTATTACTAATACCTTTCACATTTCTAAATCAAAATGGAAACAAAACAAACAATAAAAATCCCAAAATGTCCCAGTTGGTCCTTAAACATGTGAGCAGGTCAGAGCAGAGCCACAGAGGAAAACATGAACACACTGTGCACAGCCGGAAAGCTGTGATCATGATCATAAACATATCTTTTAAAAATCTTTTACTACCTTAATTAGCAAATACCAAAATGTGGTAAGGTTAAAAAAAAAAAGGCTGAAGTCGTAAACCTACATCATCATCATCTTTTGCTTTTTGTCTTGCATCTTCAGCTTCTGCACGTGCTCTAGTTGGGAAGAGACAAAAGAACACGTTATTTGAATTGAGTTCATCTTTTCAAAGGACAAAAGAGCAGGTCAATAATTTTACTACTAAAGTATTATTTTTCTTTTTTCAAACAGGATATTAGCTACTTTCACTTAGGGAAACATTACAATATATCAGTTTACACGGGGGGCGGGGGGCGGGGATAGGATGAAAAATAGTCGATGTTTTTAATCTCCTTATTATCAAACAGTTCTCTTTCCCCATCATGACAATCACAACGAATGATAGATGGATGACAGGCTGGTACATGCTGGAGCATGCTCACAGCAGAGGCAACTGGCCAAGACCCTTCACCTGATCACACACAGCTCTTGGAGCTTCCTGGCCTGAGAAGGCTGAAGCTTCGTTCTAGGGGTTACACCTGCAGCCCCTTTGCGGCACGACAGCAAAAACAGTTTAATTTAGAACAGTCAAAACTTACTTCCTAAGCTCTTCCTCTAGTTCTTTGTTCTTTTCCTCTAGCTTCAGTTTGGCTTGTTTTACGGCCTCCAATTCCCCTTGCAGCACATCTTTCTCACAGGTCAGTTCATCCACTTTTGCTATCAAATCATTCTTCACTACATTCAAAGCGTTTCTAAAAAACACGTATTTCAAGTGATCATTAAAAATATTCTTTCCATCTTTGAGTTTATTCCTTTGAAGGATAAAGTAAATGTACAGTCATAAAGCTGAATAACAGTGTTTCAAAACACTCTACCTGACGTCATTTGTAGGTGAAGGCAAAAAGAACACAAAGCAATGGTCAAAGCTTTTATTCTTTCAACTCATCAAAGCAAGAATAAGTGGATTAGGGCCAGCAGGTGGTGTGGTAGTTAAGGCACTGGACTCGCACATGGTGGACCACAGTTTGAGTCCCAAACAGGGCAGTTTGCTTTCTCTTTCTCTCTCTCTTTCTGGTGAGCACATGTACCCTAAAGCAAATTAAATAATAGTAATGAATAAAATTAAATAAATAATTATTTTTAAAAAGTGTCAAATAAGTGGAGCTCCCGTGCGCTGAAGATGGCTGCAGCTGTGGGAAGGTTGCTCTGGGCCTCGGCCCACCATGTGAGCACCATTCCTTGGGGCATTTCTGCCTCTGCAACCCTTAGACCTGCTGCTTCTGGAAGAATGTGCCTGACAAACCTATTGTGGTCTAGTTCTGGACAAGCGAAGTCTGCCTTTAGCACCAGTTCCTCCTACCAGGCCCCTGCTGTCACCCAGCATGCACTCTATTTCAAGGGTACAGCTGTTGTCAAAGGAGAGTTCAAAGACCTAAGCCTTGATGATTTTAAGGGGAAATACTTGGTGCTTTTCTTCTGTCCTTTGGATTTCACCTTTGTGTGTCCTACAGAAATTATTGCTTTTAGTGACAAAGCGAATGAATTTCATGACATGAATTGTGAGGTTGTGGCAGTTTCCGTGGACTCCCACTTTAGCCATCTTGCCTGGATAAACACACCAAGGAAGAATGGCGGTTTTAACTAAACAAATTTCTCGAGACTACGGTGTGTTGTTAGAAGGTCCTGGTCTTGCACTAAGAGGTCTCTTCATAATTGACCCCAATGGAGTCATCAAGCACCTGAGTGTCAATGATCTTCCAGTGGGCCGAAGTGTGGAAGAGACCCTCTGCTTGGTGAAGGCATTCCAGTTTGTGGAAAGCCATGAAGTCTGCCCAGCAAATTAGACACCAGATTCTCCCACAATTAAGCCAAGTCTGGCTGCTTCCAAAAAGTACTTTGAGAAGGTAAATCAGTAGATCATCCCATGTGTCTGCAGCTCGTCCTGCCAAGAATGAACCACAGTTGGAACCTACTTTTAGCATTTCAAAAACAATTATCTATAGAAGGCAAAAAAACAAGTTATGCTTGTATTTGTTAACTGTTACTCTAGATGTTTTGTTTTTGTAACTCTGGCTAAGGCTTTTCAAATGTCAGCGCTGTTATAGAATCCTGTATTGGTAACATCCTGATGGCCAGCTAGCTTTTACAGACTGCCTAGATCATGTCTTCAGTGGGTGAAGGCAACTCTTCTTAGCCTTACTTGAATGTTTATTCTACCCCAAAGTAGTACAACAAGCATCAAAAACTTCTGATCAAGGGCCCTGAAATCTTCAATTTCTTTGTATTAAACTGAGTTTTCTTTTAAAGTAACAAAGATCATTGTTTTAAGTTAGCACCCACGGTCTGACTCTCGCAATGGATGTACCTGTGATTGAAGCAACGTGAATCATGTTATCAAAAAAACACGGCACAGTGACTTCACTGATCGTGCATGGTCCCCATCCTGAAGGTTTATAGTTTACATGCTAATTTTACTTATTAGCTGACTTAGTGTCTACACACATTTCTAGTTATTGATTAGGTAATAATTGTAAAGGCTATTTATTCAATCCAGGGAGTGCATTTTGAAATCATTGTCATTAATTTGTTTCTTGAAGTCTATGTGAAATAACTAATAGAAAATAAACCTATTTTTTTAAAAAAAGTATGAATAAGTGGATAAAGCAAGGCAGACCACCAATTAATAAAAAGTCAGAAGGGGCCAGCCAGTGGTATGGTTGGGGTGTTGGACTCCCACATGGCTGACTGTGGTTTGAACCCTGGATGTGGTGGCTTGCCTTCTCACTCTCCCCCACTCTGTTTCTGGCAAATTTAAAAATAATAGTAATAATTAATAAAATTAAATAATTATTTTTTAAAATGTTTAAATAAAGAATGAAGTAAAATTAAACTTTGAGGGCCAGCAGGTGGCACAGCGGTTAAGGTGCTAGACTCCCACATGGCCAATCACAGTTCTAGTCCTGGACGTGGCAGCTTAAAACTCACACCAAGCAAGAGTGTGTGAGTGCCCCAAATCCCAGGAGAGTGAAGGAGAAGGGATTGTAGTGCGGCCATCTCCCTTGGGGGATGATTTCTTGCCTTCTGTCTCTTTGGCAAGTACACATACCCTATGGCAAAAACCTTAAAATAAAACATTTTTAAAAAGATTAAACTTTTAAAATAACATATTTATAAGGTTACTATTGTTAACAAGTTCTGAAAAAAAAAATTACCGAATCAATAAAGTAAAATTATTTCTTGAGGTTACCTACAGTAATTAATGAAAAAAAATCTAAATTACAAAGAAAGCGAAGGGGTAAAATATTGAAGGTTCAGCTCACTTGGTATAGCAGGTAAAGGACCTTTTATGGCTCTCTGACCTTGCAAAGTTCTCTAATACTGCAAATTACCCTAAAACCCATTCTTTTCAACCTAACTAAGATCCGTACAACTAAACAAGATTCCAGTGTGTCTGAGGGACTAGACTTCACAAATTGTATCCAAGAATGTATAGCTATAGAAGAGAGCTCTGAAGAGGTGGGTTGAATATGGATCAAAACATTTGTGTAGAAATAAAGGAAACCAAGAAGAGTTAATAGATAAATCTCGGGACCAGCAGTTGGCATAATGGCTATGTCACTGGACTCCCATGTAGTCAACTGCAGTTCGAGTCTCAGGCCTGGTAACTGAAACTCACGCTGGGCGCATGTGCGTTCCCAAGATCCCGAGAGGAGAATGGAGGAGAAGGGATTGCAGCGTGGCCATCTCCCCTGGGGGGTGATTTCTCGCTTTCTGTCTGTCTCTCTCTCTCCATCTTTCTGGCAAGCACACGCACCCTATAGCAAAAACCTCTCCAAAAAAGAAAAGAAAACAGACAAATCTCAGAAGGGAGCAAAACAAAGCATAGGACACATTCACAAGGTTAAGAGACGGGCATGGGTATTTGGATGAAAATTTGTTTCTGAAAAACAAAAATAGAGCAGAGCAATGAAACATATCCATGAGGGCAATGTAGGTCCTGTCAAAGACTTGTGTGTGTGTGTGTGTGTGTGTGTGTGTGTACATGTGCAGAGAAGGGGGCAAGATGCAATAGTAGGACTGCAGTGTTAAACTGAGGAAAATCACTGACTCTGACAAAAAGAAAATCCAGTATTCTCTGTTCCTTGTTAAAATTTTGTATATACTTACTTGGTTTCCAAAAGTTGTGTATTTTCTAATATAAGATTCTCAACTTCGCGACCCATTCCTATCAAAAGAAAAAGAATAGACTTTGAAAATAAACATATTCAAATTTATACATATATTTATAATTTAAAATTCTATGGCCAAATTTTTATTTTATAAATTTTATTTGTCTTTTTGTAGTTTTATTTTGTCTATAATTTCATTTGACTTATCTATCTGTATGAATTATAAATTTATAAATAATTATCCATTACAAAACAAGGATAATGATTTTCTTGGCCACTTCTTTATATCTGTTACGTCTGTATTTTATTCCTCATATTTTAATACATAATACTTTTAAAGGATTAAGACTTTGTCAAAAAGTGGCATGATTTAGGGGGATGAAAAGAACAGCATTCAGTGCTAATATAATAGGCTTTTGCCTAAACATGAAGTATTATTAATAGAGAACAGGCAGAAAGACAGAACCCCAAGGCAGATGAAACCTTACCAAAGAAATTATGGTCTTAAAGCCCATGCATTCCATGTAAAGCAAAAACAAAGAACAAGAAATGTTTTATGTAAGAAACAGCATGAAAATAGATTACTAATCTAAAAAGTTTTATGCATGATATGAAAAACACCTAGAATCACAATGTTATGGTTTAATGCATAATGATGTACAAAAGACAGAAATAAAGATGATTTCCTTTGTTTTAGGATGCTTTCTGATACACCTAAAATGTGTTTTACCAATTCTTTCTCACAATAAAAAACTGAATAAAATTAGACTGAAAACTTCAAGTCAGTAATATAAAGCTTCCTTCAAATTGCTGCCTATGAAATGATAACTATGTTCAGTTGTCGCTTTAGAAAACTATGTTTGATATTTTAATAAGTAGTACCAGATAGGCATGTATTAATAGAATAGTTGATATAAGACCTAGATTCTCATAAGAAACTGAAGAAATGAAATTAACACATTAAGGGAGACTACTCAAAAAACACAAACCAAAGCAAAACAAACCTACCCACCACTCATCTCAAGAAATTGTGAGCTAATGTTGAAAAATCATATACAATGGGAAAATACTCATAATCCAGGTAAAGTAGAAAATGTTTCTAAAGAAAACTACATAAAGCAAACGAGTTTACATGTCCCTTTATTTTAAAAAGGTAATAACCAAATGATTTAAATAAATAAAATCAAAGAATGCTAAATATTCATATGAACTCATATTTTGTCTATATTAAAATTTTCTCAAATATTCTCAAGGTTCAGGGTATTTCTACTATGAAGAATTAAATACTAGAAAAAGTAGCTTATTTAATCATCTATCTATGTAGTCCCCAAACACTGAATTAGAAAAGACCAACTAATATAGTTCCCAAATTCCAACTCCAATATGATTTTTGACAAGATGTCTGCTGTAAACACAAATATTTACTTTTCAATAAAGCTATAAAGACAGAAGAAATAAGAGTTTGGACCAGTTAAAAAAAATTGCTAATAATTGTCTGCTGTAAACTCTCAAGCATTTTGATAAGTATAAAAGCTGAAAATATATGCAGAGCAAAAAAAAAAAAGTTGAGCAGAAAAAAAAAAATGAGAAAGCATCAAATGAGAACAGCCAAGAACACCTTGCTTAAGAAGCAGTAATATTAATGTATTTAAAAGCATACACACCAGAATATTCCCCTGGGTAAGCAGCCCAAGAGAAAAATGAATGAGAATCTCAGTTAGATTGTTTTCAGAAAGAAAGAACTCATTTATTTTAAAATGAGAAAGATGAGACAAAGAAATCGAAAGATGTAGAGAAATCATTAACGAAACATAACAATGGGTAAATACTATAAATAGGGAAAAACCTGAAATATAAACAAGAATCATGTATTTTCTAAAGTTCACATTAAATTTACATTTTCCCAATGAAGAATATTCTCTTAAACTCTAATGTATTCATTTAAAATATGATCAATAGAATTATTAGAACTTTTTATTTTGAAATGTATTAATAAAATGTATTATAGCTATAAGAAAAACCTTTCTTCAAGTGGCTCTATTTCTATTAAAGTCTTAAAACAAGCCTAATATGTTCAGAAACTAAACCTATTAAAAACATGAAAAAAGTTCCCTTTCAGTGTTTAAAATCATGTAAGTTTCATTTGGATTTCAGCCTCAATTCTCAAGCTAGGTCCACAGATGGGCTTCAGAGTTATCTGGTAGTCCCTTGAGAAAGTATGCACCACCTTATCTAATGGGTCTTCAGAAAAATCATGATGTATTTTTTGCATAGAAATGCATTTTTGCATCATGCATAAATGGATCATGACTTTTCCAACAATTCAACAGTTCTGCATGTACAGTTTTTGAAAAGTGCTCTGTTTTCTTGTAAAAGACTTCTAATCTTAAAAGAAGAATAAGATTTAGAAGTGAAATAAAATCGCAGCACTATTCACCAATCCCATCTGCTTAGTTGCTGTGCTACGTGCTAAAGACACAACAGTGAGCAAAAGAGGTAGCTGTCTTGGCCATATTGAGCTTAAAATCCATCCAGGGAGACAGGAATATAAAAGCTGATGGTAGCACATAATGAGTGGCATAATAAAATGCTGTGCCCTGGGATACATTTCAGGAACAACTAAGCTTTAATTAGGGGATTAAGACAGAATTCCTGGAGGACAGTTATTTAAGCAGAGGCAAGAAGGATGAACGTATACATACACAGGAGAAGAAACAAACAAGCCTGGGGACTGGCTTGAGGAAACAGGAGAGGTCTAGGATGGGGAGCAGGACACGTCTGTGTAAGAGCAGCCGTGGGAAGAGGGCAGTGAAGACGTGAACTGAGCTTAGGCATGTCAATTAAAGCTCTTCAGATTACCTTGGGGGTATCTACTAGGCAGTTTAGAAATAAGTCTGGGGCTCTAGAGAGAGATCTGAGATAGAGATAAAAACTTGGGATTAATGAGCCATGAAAATGAAGAAAGGAGAACGAATACGATTTTGCAAAAAGAAGCCAGCCTAGAACAAGAACACTGACTTCTTGAAAGATAACACAGGAAACAGATCCTGCTAAGACAAATAAAAAGAAGTCAGAAGCAAAAAGGAATGCAGGCAAGTCTGACATCACAGAAGCCCACCAAGGAAAAGGTTATGGAGAAGCAGTGAAATAACTGATTAGGAACCACTGGATACAGTAAATAGCATTATTTCAGGCAAGGAGAGTGAGGGAAAGTACCAGATGGCAGTGGGAGGTGGAACAAGTGGGCATGGGGAGGTCCTGCCAGTTAAACTAGCCACATTTTCAAGAAGTTTATTCATTCACTGATATGTCACAAGTAACTAGAACAGGGCCTGGCACATAACAGACACTGCATCAATACTGTATAAAAGTGTGACTTGAAATGGCAGTAGAGTGAGTGACAGGTGATAGGAAGTAAAGATAGAGGTCCAGAAGAGGGTAGTATTTTTATTTTTAAATGGAAAAGAACTAACCAATTTAAATGATAACAGGGAGAAGTTAGTAGAGGTAATTAAGTTACAAATACACAAGATAATTAAGAGAAAGACAATACCAAGAGTAGGATAAATGCATGTATGATTTCCAAGTTCTGGAGTGTTGCTATCGACAGTGAGTAACAAACATATATGAAGAAAAGGGTCTCTAAAAATACGATCAAGGGATGAGAAACCAATCAGGATAAGAGGAAAAACTATTAGAGTAATCTCTTTTAAGTTGTTAAAATAAGAAAAAGAATAATCTAAGTACTACATCTATGAATAATGATTTAAAAAAGTAACATCTTGGAAAAAAGTTGTATAATAATATATAAAATAGAGGGATCAGCAGATAGTGTAATGGTTACATCACTAGGCTCCCATGTGGTTGACTGCAGATCGAGTTCCAGATCTGGTGGCTTAAAACTCACACCAGGCACATGTGTGTGCATGTCCAAACTCCTAAGAGGAGAATGCAGGAGAAGGGACTGACACGTGGCCATCCCCCTGAGGGGGTGATTTCTCACTTTCTGTCTCTCTGGCAAGCACACATGCCCTTCAGCAAAATCTCTCTCAGCAAAAAAAAAAACCAGTAAATAGAAAAACGAATAACAAAATTATAGAAATGGCCTCCATATATATATATATATAAAATAATAGGGACAGCCGGAGGTGGCTTGGTGGTTAAGGGAGCTGAACTCCCACATGGTTGCGGTTCGAGTCCCAGACCTGGTGGTTTGCTTTCTCACTTTCCATCTCTCTCTCTCTACCCCCTTCTCTGTCCCTATGTGGTCAAATAAATAATTCTTTAAAAAAATATGTATAATATTTACTTGGGGACCAGCAGTTAGCGTAATGGCTACGTCGCTGGACTCCCATATAGTCGACCGTGGTTCGAGTCACACACCAGTGGCTTAAACTCACGTCGGGCGCGTGTGCGTGCGTGCCCAAGATCCCAAGAGGAGAATGGAGGAGAAGGGATTGTGGCGTGGCCATTCCCCTGGGGGGTGATTTCTCCTTCTGTCTCTCTCTCTTTCTGGCAAGTGCACACACCCTATAGCAAAAACCTCTCCAGGAAAAAAATATATGTATAATACTTAATTATCAACCCTGAGTCAATTAAAAAACCTTGGAGAAATATTTTATTAGCTTGACTATATTCTATTCAGTATTACCTCAATTGCTATCACTGAATTAAACATAAAAGAAGCCAAGGTTGACAGCAGGTACGTGGAGGTTAAGATGCTGGATCCAACATGGCTGGCCGCATGGTTCAAGTGCCAGACCCAGCAGCTTGAAAATCACACTGGGCATACACGCATGTGTGCCCAGCATCCCAAGAGGAGACTAGAGGAGAAGTGACTGCAGTGTGGCCATCCGCCGTGGAGGGTGATTTCTCACTGTCCCCCACCTCCTAGTCCCTCTTCAGCAGCACGTGTACCATATAGCAAAAAGAAGCCAAGAAACAAATATGAGCCTTGGAAATTTCATTTACCATCTTCAAATAAAATGATAATCATTAATTAATTTTAGTTGATGATAGAGTCCATTCGTGAGTACAAAATGGAAAAAAGGAGAGAGGAAGATAGAAGCACCCTCCACAGGGCCTGCTCATGCCACAGTTCCCTTCCTCCAGCCCTCCGTTTGTGAGGACCCCTGCCACACATTCATGAGCCCAACAAGTTCTAGGCCAACCAGGCTGGGGACTGAAAGTGTGGCCAGTATGTGGCTTCAGCTCCTCATGTGGTCTGCTACTGACTGTGCCTCAGAGCTGGGCCTCATTTACCATCTTTGACCGCAAGTATTCACATAGGCATTAAGTCATTCTTTTTTTTTTTTTTTGGAGAGAGATTTTTGCTATAGGGTGCATGCACTCACTACAGAGACAGAAAGTAGGAAATAATTCTACCCCAACCCCAGGAGGATAGCCATGCTGCAATCCCCTCTCCTCCATTCTCCTCTGGGGATTTTGGGCACACACGTCCAGCACTGAGTTTCAAGTCAGGGGGTCTGAGACTTGAACCACAGTCAACCACATGGGAGTCCAGGCCTTAACTACTATACCACCTGCGGCCCTATTACCTTAAATGTAATGACTTATGGGGCCAGTAAGTGGCGTGGTGGTTAAGGTACTGGATTCCTCCATGGTTGACTGCAATTTTATTCTCAACCTGGCAACTTACTTTCTCTCTCTCTCTCTCTCTCTCTCTCTCTCTCTGGTAAGTGCACATCCCCTATAGTAAATTAAAACATACATAATAACAATAAAATTAAATAATTCTTTTAGAAATAAATTTAAGGTAATATATTGAAATATTCTAATCTGGAATATACTAGAGATAAATATATTAATATTTGCAAAACAGAAAAAAATAGTTTACAGACTGTTTCTGTTTCTGTTCTGTTTTGAAGATGTTTTACCCTTAGGGTACACGTGCCCACCAGAGATAGAGAGACAGAGAGAGGAAAACCCTGAAGAGGATGGCCACGCCACAATCCCTTCTCCATTCTCCTCCTGGGATCTTAGGCACGTACGCACATGTGCCCAGCGTCAGTTTAAGCCACTGGGTCTGGGACTCGAACTGCGGATGACTACCTGGGAGTCCAGCGACATAGCCATTACGTCAACTGCTGGTCCCCAAAGTGATGAAATCTTAAAAGGAATTTTTCATGTTAATTTGATGTTAAAAGATAGTGTGAATTTAAATATAAAAATCAGAGTATTCCTTAAGAATTAATCTTTCCTAGCCATCCTTGAGAATGCATTTCATTTAATTTCTTCCAATTTTTCTCTCAGACTTCAGTGGTGGGAGTCTTTTTCCCCTCTTACTCATGACAGGGCATATGCATGTGCAAGACGAAAAGCAAGACAGAGAGAAGGATTCTCAAAAAGTCTGGTCATTCTGTAATCCCCTTCTTGTCCATCAGATCTGGGGCATTCTTTTGCCTATGCCTGGTATATTTCACGCTGACAATCCTGGGGAATTGAACCAGGGTCGCCATGTAGGATCTGGCTTCTCTTGAGCAGCACATTACCACTGTGCCACAGGGCTAACCCTATGATGGGAGTCTCTTAATGGTTAATTTGGAATTTATATATAGCATTTTCATTCTCCCTTACAAGATACACATTTAGATAGATCTGTGCTTCCATTTTAAAATACTTCACAACATCAAGGACAAAATTAGTGATTGGTATATTTAACATAAATTAATGCAAGCAATGTTGTTCCACTCATCACAAGAACTGACAAACAGCACCAATGAGAACAGCAAGCAAAGATACACATTTTTAACCCTTTATTATAAAGCTTTCAATTTCTGTAAGGCTTTAAGTTCAAAGAAAGCTCATTCACATGAGTCAGAATCATGTAATCAATACCAGAAGGAAATACAAGAATCAGAGGGTAAGTATTTTTAGGCTTTTGGGCCCAGATGATCTCTACTGCAAATGACTCAACTCTGCCATTGTTGAGCAAAACGACCACCGATGATAAGTAAACAAACGGTTGGATGTGTGCACTAAAACCTCATCAAACATAGGGAGGTTGACTGGTACAGGCCAAGAGCTGCAGTTGGCTGGATCCCTGAACTAGAGTCCCAGCTCTGTCATTTGACACACAAAGAAGCTAAAGTTCCAGAGAGGTAAAGCTACTTGGCAAATGTCACCAGACAAATAAATGCATTATTCTTTCCAAACCATGTCTTTCTCAACAATAAACTTTAAAATGAGTTCATTTCTCATAGAGTTAAAATATAACACTATGTGAAAGATCAGAAAATCAAGTATTATCATTTTTTACTTAAGGTCAAAAACCTAATAAAAATTTAAGTCTGTAACTATCAATCAAATTCTTCTATCTACACATGCCCCTCACTTGCTATGTATGTGACACTGTGCTCCTTACATGTAATATCTGTTCTATTCTGGAATTTAGCAGGAATTCTAAAAAATATTATGTGAATTCAAAATACAAATTTAAATGCAATTAAATTTTAGACATATACATACACAATAATGCTTTCATTTAAAACTGATTACCCCAAAGATGATGTTCATCATAATTTTCTAAAGATGCAACAACCCTATATCATGATTTTAAAGAATTTTCGACAAATCATTTTTAAAAATCTATTGTAAAACAGTATGATACTCCTTCAGATGAACTGTCATACCTAGTAAATCTGCTCCTTCATCAACATCTCCAATCAGGCCTGAGCCAGCTGATGACAGTTCTTCAAAGAGAGATTCTGTATTGCGATCAAAAGCTTTGTTCTCTATGCCTTTGGTAGGAGTGCTATGCAACAAAAACAACAAATCAACAAATTACAAAGACTTTTTTGACAATGTAAATGAATACAGTGGACTAAAGTAACAAGGAATTTTTCACCCATGATTTGTATTTCCTAAAGAATATAGTTTTAAAAAATTTCTCAAAGATTTCCTAAGAAATTCCCATTAACTCCACAGCGACAACTGGTGAAAAACTATATAGTGTTTATGATGTGAGATTCCTGCAACTCCAAGCAATAAACAGCACTGACAGAGTACTACTCTGCTCTGAACCAGGTCTATGCCTAAATGTTTCACATGTTTAATCCTCACAACCACTCGATAAAGCAGATGATGCTTTCACATCAATTTTACAGACTGGGAAATGAAAGAGGTTTTTAAGCTATTAATATTTTGGATTTTGGATTTTGTTAAGAGGTTAAGGCATTGAAGATCGTCCAGCCAGTCGATGAAAGAGGTAGGATTCAAAACCGGGCATGGATTATGGTTTCAGAATCCATGATCTTAAATATCATGTTATACGTTTTCCAGATATAAGTCAGCATGGACTTTTTATATTTCTTTTAAGGATGAGTTCATATTACCTAATAAAATTTAAAATGTAAATACTCTGGATGCCCAGCCTCATGGCCCACATCCCATCAGTGCCACCATCAAGGGTGTCACCTTGCCCACTGTGTGCCCCTTCATGCCAGTTGTGCTGCTGTGTGTAATGCTGTGCCCTCTGCCCCAGGCACTGGATTGGTGCACTCTCCCTCCTATCTCCTAGGGCTTTTCTTTGTCAATTTTTTAATGTGATTTAAAGAGTGGAAAATGAGACTATGCAGTTTTATATTTAAATTTAAATAAATAAATGAAATGCAAATACTCACTGACCCAAGAATTCTATGCCCAAAAAATGTCCTACAAAATCCGTCATAACAAGGTAACTATGGGGGGGTCAGTGGGTGACGTAGTGGTTAAGGACACAAGAGTCTTCCATGGCCGACTGCGGTTCGAATCCCAGACCTGGTGCTTGCTTTCTCATTTTCTCTCTATCTCACTCTGTCCCTCTGTGGTCAAATTAAAATAAGTAAATACATAAATAAAGTTAAATAAAATAATTCTTTAAAAAAAGAAAGAAGGCAATTACGTCTGTAAAAAGATGCTCAGATTGGCATTTCAACAGTAGCAAACCTAAGTAATCATTAAAAGGAGAAAGGTAAATAAGTTATGGATATATATTTTACATACTTTATATATAAAGTAAGAAATATTAAAATTGAGTTTTATAAACTAAAGAAACCCATTATACAAAGTTTTTGTGTTTTTTTTTTTAATCATTTTTGCTATAGGGTATGCACATTCATGAGAGAGACAGAGAAAGTGAGAGATCACCCCCAGGGGGAATGCCCACATTTCAATCCCTTCTCCTCCAGTCTCCTATAGGGATTTTGGGCATGCACACGTTTGCCCAGTATGATTTTCAAGCTGCTGATCCAGGACTCAAACCATGCAGTGCCCATGTAGGATCCAGCTTCTTAACCTCCATGCCACCTGCTGCCCAACCCAAGATTCCACTAATTTCAGAAAAACACTAAGTTGTAAAACAAAGAAAATGAAATTATAGTATATTCTATGACTAAACTGTGATTAATATTTATACAATGTAATGACACAAACAACAAATATCAATGTAAAAAATTGTTATAATTATAATGGGATGATGAAAGAAAAAATGTTGGTATCAGGAGTTATATCTTCACTACAGAATGACAACAGTTAATGTCACTGCCTTTATCAACCAGGGTTCCCCAGGATCCACACAATACAGATAATGATGGGAGTGACTATCTTCCCAATTCTCCCAAGGAAAGTTTATAACTGGTACCACTTGGATCATGGAAGTATACCTACTTCATTTTATATGAAAGATGCCTTTAGGCTATTAGGACTTAATTTTTTTCACAGACCCCAGCTGACAAAGGGAGGGACCAAAGAAGCACAGCACACAGCCTGCCCCTTCATGCCAGTTGTGCTGTTGTGAGTAATGTGCCCTCTGCCCCAGGGCACAGAGCTCAAAAGAGAGAGCAGTTTCCTCTTCAGAGTGGGAATAAGTGGTTGATAGGAGGAGGTGACCAATATTACTCTTAGGTTCTATTATCATTTAGCTTTAAAATTGCAGACATGAGACCAGCAGATGGTATACTGGTTTTGTTGCTGGACTCCCATGTAGTTGATCACGGTTTGAGTCCAGACCTGGAGACTTAAATTCATGCTGGGCACATGTGCATGTGTGCTCAAGGAAAAGGGACTACAGCATAGCCATCACCCCCGGGGGGTGATTTCTTACTGTCTGTCTCTCCATCTCTTTGGCGAGTACATGTGCCCTATAGCAAAAATCTCTCTCAAAACAAACAAACAAACAAAAAACTGCAGACATTCATTAAAGTACTCAAAATTTCACTTCTTATCCTCTGCACTACTTAACTTAAAAAATTATTTATTTAATTTTATTTATTATCATTATAATTTTTTTTTAATTTGCTATAGGGAACATACGCTTACCAGAGAAAGAGAAAAAGAGAGAGAGAAAAAGAAAGTGAGAAAGCAAGCCACCAGGTTCAGGACTTGAACCATGGTCAGCTGTGTGGGAGTCCAGTACTTAAACCACCATGCCATCTGCTGACCCCGCATTGTTTAATTTTTTTTTTATTATTTATGTATTTAATTCCACTTGTTATTACTATTATTTTTTTCCTACTTTTTAAAAATTTATTTCTTTTTGTATATACATTCAATCGCATTATTTAGCTTACAATGTGAGCATTTCAATATGTGAACATTTCTCCCCAGTCCCATTGATCAAAATATCTTCAACCGATAACACCACATTTCCCCATCCTGTCAATGTTCTGCCTCCATATCCCTTCTCCAAATGTCTTTCGTTAGGCCCCACTCCTCCACACACACCTCATCTGACATTCACACCCATCTCTTGTGTTTGTACAACCGTTCGTCAATCAGTTTCAGTCATAGAGTGCAGACATTCGGTATATGTTAAGTGGGTACATACAATGTCTCTCCTTCATAGCCTGGCTTGCCGCACTCAGCAGTAAATCTTCCATATTTTTCCACTTTCTGTCAAAAGCCAGTGCATTGTTTAAATTTTAAATAAATAACAAAGATATATTATTTTGGTAAGACGCAGGCTTTGAAATCGGAGCCTCTGATTTGAAACTCAGCTCTACCTCTCGCTAGCTTGGTAATGTGAGGTAACTTCTATATGTCTCCTTATCTGTAAATCGGAGTAAAATCAGCATAAAGACATCTACCTCATAAAATAAATATTAATGGATCACATTTTATAAATATTAATGGTGAAAACAAACAGTAATGTTAGTTAATATTCACTGAACAGGACAGGACAATTATCAATAATTTAACATGCACTGATTAATTTAATCTTCACAACTACCAGAGGCATTATCATAATCCCCTTTTACAGGCATGGAAGTGTAGCTAAGATCCAAATTCAAGGCAGGATGTGAACCCACATGATCTTTTTCTTCAGAGACAGCAATGTCATTTTTTTTTTTTTTAGGAATTATTTATTTTATTTATTTATTATTAGTCTTCAATTTGACCAGAGAAAGACTGAGAGAGAGAGAGAGAAAGGGAGAATGAGAAAGCAAGTTGCCAGGTTTGGGACTCAAACTATATAGTCCGCCATGTGGGAGTCCAGTGACGTAACCACCACACCACCTGCCACCCCTCCCCCCCATAATCTTAAGTCCATGCTTTTAAACACTATAACATACTACATAATGTTTATCAGAGATCCATAAATGGAATGTATTATTTTGGTAATTACTAATTAACTAAAGGATAAAAGTTATGAAAGAAATTAAAAGAACATCCTGTCTGACAGTATTGGTCATCACCACATTTTAGATAGTCATGATTAAGACAGTACCTAACCATTCTCCTCCTACCACCAAACAGCTTTGCAATGTAAAATGTTACTAAAATGAAACTAATTTCTTCTAATTAGATTAATACAGTTTAGAAGGAGAACTAGATTCCCTTTTTCATGGAAAAGAACAAAGTTTTTTTCAGGCTCTTACTTCCCCTGTTCCAGCATCTTTGTTTCCACTGGTTACAAAAAATATGGGATGTTGGGAACCAGCAGTTAGCGTAATGGCTATGTCGCTGGACTCCCATGTAGTCGACCACGGTTCGTGTCCCGGACCTGGTGGCTTAAAACTCACGCCGGGCGCGTGTGCGTGCGTGCCCAAGATCCCGAGAGGAGAATGGAGGAGAAGGGATTGCGGCGTGACCATCCCCCCTGGGGGGTGATTTCTCGCTTTCTGTCTCTATGTCTCTCTCTGTCTGTCTGGCGAGCGCACGCGCCCTACAGTGAAAATCTCTCAAAAAAAAA